CGCTGCTGCTGCTGCAGGACGACCTGGCCCGTGCGGCTGGGCTGCTGCGGAGCGCTGGGGCTTGTGCGCCCTCGCCGCGCGCGGAGGAGGCAGGGAGGGAGGCTGCCGTGCGCTGGAGCCAGGTAAACAAAGCAGCAGCGCCGCCCAGTTCCTCGGGCCGAAAGGAAGCGAGTCACGAGGAAGAGCGACAGCCGGGCAGAGCCCCTCGCAGGAAGTGTGGCTGCTGCTGGTTTCCTGCCCGCCTGCCTTAACTCTTTGCAGAGCGGCGCGGCGCTTGCGAAACTCTCTCCCAGCCTCCCCAAGCCCGGCGGGAGGGAGACTCGAGCGAGTGGCCAAGAGGAGGGACCCCACCCGGGGCAATGATTCACAGGACGCTTAAAAAGCTGGGGTGTGTCTTACATGACGTTGCTTCTTTCGTCTGCCCTCTCCCCCTCCGGCGGGAAGCATTTGCGACAAGAAACGTGAGGGGATGCAAAGCGGAGCGAAATGCGGGCACATGCTGAGTTCTTCATCCCAGACAAACCAGAACACATTTTTGAACCTGGAGTATTTGAAAATGTACGTGGGTTGTCTACATTCCACATTTGAACGTTCCATAAACCGTGTAGGTGGACAAGGCTAAAGGTGCTGAACAGTTGTATTTCTCATTGGGCCACGCTGTTTCGAGATCAGTAACTGAGGCATTCAGAATCAGCAGCCTCTTTAAAAAGGCCTCTTCGTCACTACATGCATCTGACGAAGTGGGTCTTTGCCCACGAAAGCTTATGCTCCTACACTGCAGTTAGTCTATAAGGTGCCACAGGACTCCTCGCCGCTTTCTGTAAAAAGAATGGCCTTAGAGTTAGAGTCTAGGGGAACTATATACATTGATCAAACAGAAAACATCAAGGAAGGTAAAAATTGCATCTAAAATGATATGGCTCTATCCCCACAGAGAAGTTTCCACCCTCTTCATGTAGTTATGGTGTAACTCACTTTTTTAAAGTACATCCCGGGGGGAAATTTCAAAACTGCTTAGATTTGGCCTAACTTTACTCATGTCAATCTTAATGTCCACTTGTTGCATCTAAATCCCTTTTAATTTTTCTGCTTTGTTTTTTCTTAAAACATTGTAGGCACCTTAAAATGCAAACAAGATAACTGCTAAAATATAAGCAGGTGCCATATGGAAAATTTTGTAAATCGGCTGAAAAATGGTTAACGTTAACCGAGTTTGACAGAGAGTCATCAGGAACAGTACTTCTGGCTGAGTTATATCCCCTTGGAATTTATGTTGATCTGATGTTAAATGGTATTGCTTCTGAAGCTTGTGATATGGTTCTTTAAACCAGTGTTTCTGAAAGTGTACCATGACCACGGAGCCTTGCGGCTCCCATTGGCTCCGTTTCGTCCTTTGCAGCCAACGGGAGCCGCGGGAAGTGGTGTAGGCTGGGCCACCACTTCCCGCGGCTCCTCTTGGCTGCAAAGAATGAAACAGCCAATGAGACCTGCACGACTCCATGGCCATGGCGTCAGTTCATAAACAAACCGGGGCAGCCAGTTAAAGTGTTTCTGAAAATGTTTCTGCGGTACACTTTCAGAAACATTGCTTTAAACCAATGTGCCAAATCTGCCTTGGCATGCCTTTGTTCTGCCAGCACTGAAGTTGGACTCTCTGTTCCAGTTCTTTAATTAAAATCAACAAACTGGATTGTCTTGTTGGCTTCACTTTGCCTGCCTCAGGAAAGAGTCCTGCACAGCAAAGATAGTCAACTAGTCTTTCACAAATATCGAGTATAAGAGGCTGAGTCAACACATTCCCATCAGGAGAAAGCAAAAAGAACAGGGGTTTAAATATTAATTGTGTTACAGAGATCATACAGATGGTGTAGTAACTTGTGAACAAAACTTCTTTGCAGAAGACAGAAATATTAAATAAGGTGTTACAGTGAGCCCTCGCTACTTCGCGGTTCGACCATCGCGGATTCACGACTTCGCGGACATTTTGTATGTATATATTATAAAAGAAATATATCGCGGATTTTCCGGAAATTTCGAAAATAGCCGCGATATATGAAGACCCCAAATACGTAAATATGGTGTCCCTACTTCGCGGATTTTCAGCTATCGCGGTCGGGTTTGGAACCTATCTACCGCGATAAACGAGGGTTCACTGTAATTGGATATTAAGCTTAGGAATCCATGAGCACTTCTGAATCTGTCATGCTATCCTGTGATAGAGTCTGTCTCCATTTATCTTGGAGTCTTGGCTTTTTTTCTTTTTCTTACAACCTTTTTAAAAGGTCATTTGAAACCCAAACTCCATGGTATGACAGAGGAGCCAGACCTCTTAAATTAGGTTCAGGATATTTGTGGATGATTTCTTAACTGTGTCTTGCAGGCCACTTCCTTCCTCCAGTAATTGCCCACTTCTTTTTCCTCATGATTTTGCATATGGTGGAGTGATTAAACAACAAAGTATTCTGAAATACTTTCCACAGCAAACTAACACCTGTGGTTTTGCATCCCATCTGCTATGCAATCAAGAGCACAACCTTTGAGGGCTCACCTGTTTTTCTTGGTGGCTTTGTTTAGTTAATGATTCAAGTTTGGAAACCTATAATCATATTTTCAGCACGGCACCACACCTGGTTGGTCTGACTGGTTTTGCTAGTTCTATGCAAAGAGGACCCAAAGTATTTAGGATGTGCATAACTGTGGGTAGCAAAGTTCATCCAACTTAATGAATGGAGTAGCTTCACCTTCAGCTGTAGTAAAGGTTAAAGTAAATATTTTCACGTAAAAAATAAAAACTGCAAAATAATAGCAAAAGTAGAACCTTTTTCGTCAGAAAGACCTAAATTGTTGAGACTAGTGATTTTGGTGTCTTAATATTTGCGTGCTCAACTCAAGTCACTTTAAAGTCTTCTGTCTTTCTGAGGATGCTCAGTGCTTTTGAAAATCAAAACCCCTCAATATTTAAGCTGCAGAGCTCTGACCGTGGTTGACATAAACTTAAAAGCACCATAAAGGAAAGTTACACAATCATTCAAAGCTGCTGTAGCAGTCGCAAACTCGCTGTGAATTATATTTAAGTGTCTCAAGTTGAGCCCCCAAAATTGAGACATCCAAATTCACCTGTCTGCCCCAAAGAGCTTAAATTGGCCTATTGGATCACACCAGTGGTTCATCTATTCCAATATCCTGTTTCTGAAGAGGCCACTACCAAATATTTCAGAGGAGAATGTAAGTGTCTAAATAATAACAAGTTAGGAAGGAATGGTGTATGCACAGAGGAATTTAGACAGTTAGCTTAGTCCCTAAAGCATGAGAGTTTGTCACTCTTAATATTTTCTTTTATGAAATGGGTGGAGTTTCTTTTGCCCACATAAACGTCTAATGCTTTTTTAAATTCTGTTAAACACTTTCAATCAATGGCATACTGTTGCGATGAGTTCCATAGTTAACAATGTTTAAAACATAGAATTCCTTGTATTATTTTTTATTTTGCTTCCTTTCAATTTAATTGAATGTTATCTTGTTTTTATATAATGAGACGGGGTGAGCGGAGTGCTTATTAACCTTCTCATTGTTTTGTGTACTTCTTACATGCAAGAACAACAAGAAGTCCTGTGGCACGTTATAGACTAACAGATTTATTGGAGCATAAGCTTTCATAGGTAAAGACCCACTTCATCAGATGCATGTAGTGGAAATTCCAGAGGCAGATATAAATATACAGGCATAAGAAAAGAGTTCCAATCAAGAGTAAGGTTAGAGATAACGAGGTCAATTCAGTCAGGGAGGATGAGGCCCACTTCTAGCAGCTGATGTGGAGATGTGAATACCAAGAGAGGAGAAACTGCTTTTGTAGTTGGCTAGTTGGCTAGCCATTCATAGTCTTTGTTGAATCCTAAATTGATAGTATCAAATTTGCAGATGAATTGTAGCTTTGCAGTTTCTCTTTGAAGTCTGTTTTAAAAAATTTTTGTTGCAGGATGGCTACTTTTAAATCTGCTACTGTGTGTCCAGGGAGATTGAAGTGTTCTCCTACAGGTTTTTGTGTATTGCTGTTCCTGATATCTGACTTGTGTCCGTTTATTCTTTTATGTAGGGACTGTCCAGCCACACCATCACAGGACCTAACCACATCAGCCACACCATTACAGACTCATTCACCTGCACATCTACCAATGTAATATATGCAATCATGTGCCAGCAATGCCCCTTTGCCATATACACTGGCCAAACTGGACAGTCCCTACGTAAAACTATAAAACTCATAAATTGAAGTTGAAGGGTTTTTTCTCGAAATGACCCCACGGGGACCATGTTTGTTTTCTCGAAAGACGCTATTTCAGAAAAGCGGCGGTCTGCGATTATGCAAATGAAGCACGGGAAATTCAAATCCGTGCTTCATTTGCAATTTCACTCAGCTGCATTTGCATTCCTCTCTCAAAAGAGGAATGCAGTGTAGACATACCCTAACTTTAAAAAGAACAAGTAGTCCTACGGCACCTTAGAGACTAACAAAATTACGTAGAATCATGACTTTCAAGGGTAAAACTCACTTCATCAGATGAGTTGGAGTGGAAATAACAAAAACCAAGATTATTTGTATATAATCAGGGCTCACCGAACTGCGGCTGTCCAGCGATCTGCACATGTGCAGATCATTCTGCGCATGCGCAGTTCGCCGGAACCCAGCTCTTCCGGGTTACAATCTACTCGCCACAGGCAAGTAGATTGTATAATTTGTCGAGCCCTGTATATAATTAATCATATATAAATCTTGGTTTCTGTTATTTCCAATCCAACGCATCTGATGAAGTGTGTTTTACCCATGAAAGTTCATGATTCTCTATATTTTTGTTAATCTCTAAGGGTATGCCTACACAGCAGGGCTAAAGTCGAATTAAGCTACACAACTTCAGCTACATCAATTGCGTAGCTGAAGTTGAAATAGCTTAATTCGGCTTTTGGCACTGTCTATGCTGCAGGAAGTCGAAGGAAGAACACTCTTCCTTCGACTTCCCTTACTCTTCATAAAATGAGGGTTACAGGTGTTGTAGTAAGATGTTCTCCATCTCGACATTATTTCAGAATAATGGCTTGCAGTGTAGACACACTGTTTGTTATTTTGGAATAACATCAGTTATTCCGAAATAACACTGAGGTGTAGATACTGCATAAGGTGCCACAGGGCTATAAGTAGGATAGATGTCTTACATCCACTGAAATCAGGGATTTTTATCTAGCCCTTAGAAATCCAAGTCTCACTATGTTAATAAAAGTTTAGTTCCCAAGACCTAAATCACTTTTGAAAATTGGAATTAGCTTAGATCACACAGGCCTTTTTCAAAAGTTTATCCTTAATTTTTTTCACTCTCACCTCAAATAGAATTTTTCCATGCCTTTATATAATTTTCATTAGCCATCTCTAGACCCCTTTCAGATATTGATGACTTGACCAGAACTGAACG